TGAAATAGCATGAACACAAGATAGCCGTATCGATAACTGGACTGGAAGAATGCTCGTAATATTATCGTTTTTAGGAGAGGGGATATCTGAGTCAGATCAATGTTGTCTTTTCAGCACATATCAAGGGTCGACGAAAGACTGTGCCCTTCTTCACAAAGGTAACGGAAGAAAGTAGGATACACTCTTTTTAAGGGCTAAAACTGACACGTAGAATAAAAACAAGGAGAGAGGCATACATGAGTAGTCTCTCAGCGGAATATGTCCAGGGGCTTTTACGTAGCGTTTCAGATTCGGACTAGAACATCTAGATCTAAACACGAGAACCAAACCCGTCCTTCCTTGTTGATGTATTATGAATATAGCCTGGTTACCAAATCTATTTTAGCTCCCGAGTCCTACATCCTCTCCGTAAGAGGATGCAGGACTCGGGAGCTAAAATAGGTGCAGCTTATATGAACCATACCTTTCTGTACCTTTTCGCTACGAAGAGATAGGTATCTCATCCTTTGAGATTCACGTTATATTCATAGTATAGTTTTTTATCTTCCCAAATATCAGTAATATAAGGGCATTCGTAGGTTAGAATTGGAATTCGGGATCTTTGCTAAAAAAACATGTTTTCGACAGTTTTTGAAGTTGCGTTGCATAACAGTACTCTTGTACCAGGGACACACAATGAGCTCCATACAGAACAGAGGGCGGACTGATCCTAACGTGGGGGGTCTGGGGTGAAAAACACGTATTGTCAACAGCACATGACCCGCACCTGACTCATTTACATATTAAGTGTTTGGTTTTGATTGGTAGATAATCATAGTGGAAATCACGTGTCACTTGACGGGATATTCAATCTTCCCGTGATCTGTCCCTGTGGCACAGTCCGTGTGGACTATGGAGACAGGCCCGGGTCATCGCCTTGTCTTTGTCCCGTGATAACGACTTGATCTAGCTATATATAGTCATTGTGCGTCGAACGACCCAAACGTCAAGATCAAAATTCTTTCCTATCTCCTTTCAGTACATGTAGCCCTTGGGCCACACATTTGTGCAATCGCAACTGCTAGTCCACTGGTAGTGGTACTAAATAGAGAAAGCAGTATGCATGGACCATCTTATAAAGACTTGGTCCATGGGAAAATGGTGTATCTGTATAGTAGTGTCAGCAGCTAGCGTTGAACATGCCAGACGAGTAGTACCCTAGCCTGGTCTTCGTGACAAAAGTCTAAGGCGGGCCAGTGCCTAATATGGTCGTCATGCATAGCAAAGCAACTTTGGAGGTTAAGTATCCGCAATATTACAGACAAAAGGAGATAAAAGAAACAAATCAAACAAAAAGTAGAAAGACGGAAAGAAGGCAAAGAAAGAATGCCTCCAGTGTTTGTATACCCCGGCTCATCCCTACTGTCTATCCGGCGTGTCAGAACGGGTATCAGATATGTCACTCAGCAGGCTTATGTCTGGTGAAGACTGTTTGTTGGCGGATATGTGGTTTCTAAACTCAGAGATGTTGTTTGGGCCAGACACGGAAACTTGTCTGTTTTGTATCCCGTTTGTCACGAGGAAGACACAACACCGTTGTTGTTCTGGAAAACGCCTTGCGAAAGTTGACACAACGTTCCTCAGACATGCACTAAACAAGGAGTGACAATGGTGTACGGAACTGACCCGGTGTGTGTTCTACCTCTCCTACAACAGGAATGACCTTCAAACAGGCGACGAAGTTTGGCCTGAGAAAAACTACGGAAATACCTTAGTCATCACAGGTGACATTTAGACTAAGTGTAGCGCAAAAAAGTTTATTGTTGGCAATTGAAATGTTTGGAACAGGATATAAGCAAACGGTCCAAGCATCCCACTCGCTTTGTCAACTGTTTGTAATAGTTCTGAAGTATAATAAACACCGACATTATGCAGGCGAGTAAATAAACGTTCATTTCGAAGGTCATGTATAGACCGATCCCGAAGCCCCGCCCATCTCAAAACATAGAAATGCAAATATGTGACGGTCATGAGATTCTTTATCGACACAACAAAAAAGTACAGTGACTTTTGTATGGTCTTCTACATCTAATGGTCATGAAGCCACCATTTCATTGGTCGAACCGCTAATTGCCCTTCTCTCATTGGTTGAAGTTCTAATTGTAATGGTCATTTGGGATCGGTCTATTACGACACACACCAGACGGAAGGCCACCTGTTGTTTTCTTACCTCTTCTTGGTGTTGCGAGCCCCGTGCCGAGCGACGCTACATTTGTTTTGGTTTGATCAACCTGCGCATTATGGCATCATATCAGTGGCCGACAATTTTGATAGCTTTGTCCCGTCATTCAGTAAGTTCAAAAGAGATCCGGGGCAAGAAGAAAGGTGCACAGCTCTGGCACAATGCGTTTGTAGAAAGAAGGATGAGATCTGTTTTCCAACTTCCTGTGTGATACACAGGTGTGCGTGCCACGTGGCGCATAGTCATGGTCTCCTCTTACAAAAGCAACTTCAAAACATCTCCGACATCAAATTTTATTGTGCACTTTCCATGGTGGTAAATTGAAGCATTGTCTCTTGACGTGCATTGCGTCATTATTGTTGCACCAATAGATTTTCCTCACAAACTCAAGCCTGCCATTCTGCTCAACGTCGCTAGACGTCACTTTGTATACGAAGCTCATAAAAAGTTCTCTTCGGGGTTAATAAAGGTCACAGCGGAGAGCCGGTATGTTTGGCATTATAATTGACTATCGTTCATCAAACTAATCGCCAGGTGGCGCTATTTGTTCACTTCGACTCGTATGCTTCCGAGCTCGCTTTGTGTGCGTGCGTATCAAATGTACCAATCAATATCATTAAATCCGCAAAATGGTATAAGGCCATATAATGTCAAGAATATAACGTTGTTGTACAAAGAGTCTTAAATCCCACTATGCATGCTATGTGACTATATATATATAGATATGGCGTCGGCTAGTAGAAGCCCTGGATACCATCCTTGTAGGCAAAGTTCGGTCCGTCCGCTTTGGGGGAACGACATTGGGGCGGACGTGATCCTATAGCTAACCAGGACAACACGCAGGCTATCCGAATGTAGCGTGTGCTTCAGATTACCGTGGCTATGTTGCAAGACTTGTAAGAAGTATCTACCAGACTCCGCGGGTTTCGAAGAATACTTTTTCCAAATCCTCTGGCATCGCATTCGCCATTTGACCGATTCCGCTATCTTCCAGTATTACCCAGTCAGTGGAAGAGACTAGAATCGTTTATTAATGTTAGAAGGCATACATGCGGCTGCCCCACCAGTCATCTGTCCCGTGTGAATTTGGAGATTAACTTGTTTCTTTATAGTCGGTGACGAAAGACTAGGTTCATCGCAGACTAATTTTCAGTCCTCCGGCGGCTGACGCGTTCATTCGATCCTGTGATTTCTGCTCGCCATGAGTTTAAGACAAAACCCTGTCTGGATCCGCCAAAAGCACTTTTAGCGACTATTTGCAACCTGCTCTCCTGTAAATCTGGTCATTCTGGTGCATACACAGACGGACCCTCAGACGGCAGTTACAAATCACACTTCACACTGTTACCGACCCGTAACATTACTGTTGATCCAACTTCACCGTACGTGTCCAGCCAACACGTACAACAGAACTTTTATGTTGTCGTGAAATGCAAAGACGAAACATAAATCAGTACCTTGTCTCCCATGCTGTTCATGCTATGTCTTTATCAGACCATTTCTGCTGAAACGAAACATATTGGGGAAACTTAGGGACACCTTTTGATACTAATTACTATGATGAAGTACTGCTGTCGTGTTATGTTCTATTGTATGACCTTGTAATGGTACTGTATGCGACCTGGATGAAGTTGTCTTGAACTGGAAGAAAATCACCTGTGACAGACAGTCGTCTGTTTTTCTACAGGATTATCCTACTTTCCGTCAACGACCTAATCTCTCCTGATCCGCCTTGTCATTCCTAAAGCCTGACTTAGCCATTGCGTCAACAACGCATGTCCGGTGTTGTAAGCTGTACACATACACGTAGACAAACCCATATTTCTAGGCAAACCGTCTATTGCAAAAGCTACTCCTTTTACTATAACTATAACTATAAACGAGAAGACGATGCATTCATTTTAGCTTATGTTCTTAAATTCACGGCACACGTACGAGCGTACGTTTTTTGTGACCTGTACTTGTGCATGCAAGGGGATTCTTTCATTAACAGTAACCCCAAGAGTGCCCATCGCTGTAATGCATTATATAAGCTGTGTAATGACCCCATTGGATAGTTTAACTAAGATCGTATTTTCTGCTTCGCTACTTTAATAAGAATAAACCAGATGTAGGAATTTGTTTCAGGACCCCAACACGATAGAGTTGCTCCGATTCGGGTCACACGTCTGTTTGTGGTTACAATGTAGGTGGTGCCCGGGACGGTGGATTGGGAAGATGTTGAATGCAAATTTTGTGTGGGCATTACGTCTTATCTTATTCTAGCAAATTCGTTTGCCTTCGGATTATCTTTGAAAATTATCTATAACTAATAGGCAGATGCAGAGAATTTTTTTTCTTTTGTATGCAGGATAAGTAAAGCTGAAATACCGTTTGGACGCAAACCTACAAAGACTAATATATGCTCTAGCAAAACTCAGTGATACTTTTCTTTCTGTTAGACAAACTATGAAATTCTTTTAGAAAGGGTTACAAACATTTCAAAAAAATTCGAAACAATGGGAGCAAACACCCGCACGGTGACGTGGAATGGACTCTATGACAGTAAATATAGAAAGCACATGCAATGTTAATTGAACCGTTATGGCGCGTTCATTGTACCATCGCAAAATTTGAAACAAACAAGCCCTCGGACACTTTAGTGGTACAGCGGCAATTCTCAGTCTTACAGGGTCTTCAAAGGGTAAAAAAAACGAATACAAGGGAAGGCAAGTTCCCCATATCGTTAGTTCCATGTCAAAGATCCGAAGCGGAAACAAGTGTATCTCTCTGTGTAGACATGTCGCCCACTCCACCCCCGCCCGTGTGCCCTGTGCGGCGTGCGCCTCCGTCGCCTGTGCCGACGTCTCCGCCCTCTGGCGGCCTGATGTATATCTACAGGAAGGAAGGACTGGGTGGGATTCCAGGCGCCCTCCCACTGTCTGAGGTACATTGATGTTTTGGGACAGGTCGGGCAGTGACCTCAAGGTATGTTTTGGTGGTTGTTTTTCACGAGACAGTGAGAGAAACATGTACATGTCCCCTTGACACCTTGATCGCTATGGGTTATAAATAATTATCAGGCTTATACGATTATATACTGTAGTACGTATTACGTAACTGCATGAGTCATTTGGAGCCATCTATGTTATGCTTTCTGTCTATGTAACTGTAGAGAATACAGTAGCCTGCCGCTTGAGTTACTGTATTACCGTTGTGGTATATAGGTATGACATTTATAGTTGAACTTGACCGCAAAATAGAGTAACTGAGGTTAATGGGTCGGGTAAAAGGGTACTGTGGGAAAGGCTGGTATCGTGACAAGGACAATAGATGCCATTGTTTGTGCTTTACGAGAAACCTGTCGTGCACTTTCGGGCGAAACAGTGTTATCAAACAGCGCTATCATCTGAAAGAGGGAAGAATGCAGCACGACCATACCCCACATTTAAAGTTCCAGAGGTACTTGACACAAGACGTTTCACAAAGAAACCTTGAAAAGTCATTATTGTTCTTCTCCCAAATGTCGCGACCCTGCTTTGTCCTGCCCTGTCTCAGCCGGATACGCCTGGTTAGTCTGTCTAGTGGTTTCCCGCCTTTGGCTGTCCAATCACAACATTCTTTACATTGACCGTGGATTCTTCAGATACTGATGTCCAGTATAACCTTTTGGCTACTGGCGGTTGTTAATCCGTTGTCATGGAAACCCTAAAACCCCGAACTTGATGCTCGGCATATGTGGCGATGGAGAAGGTATTCACGAACTTTTCACCCGTCTCCGTACAAAACGTAAGGCAACTGAATCAACAGCAAGTCAAATTGAAGTGAAAGAATCGCGCTCGTAAAGGTACATTATAGACCAGTAACAGAACGGTTGCCTATAAAACTAAGTAGCTGAGTTCGTGAGTGGATAGTGAGTTTGAGAAACCTGAGGAAGAATCAGCCCCCATCACCCTGTGGGATTGTCGGACATCATCTTTTGCATGGTTCACAATGGCAATGGCCTTGACTACAAGCAGGGCGGGAAATAACACATACTGGACCTGTGTTCAAATCGTGATACAAACTCCATTTCTATTTATGACAACCTCTAGGTAGTTTAAAAGTTGACGTTTCTTTCTAGTAAATTTTAGATATAGACGAACTCGAACACAGACGATAACGTATCAAAAACACCTGAGAATCGCACTGCAGTGACTTTTCAATGCGGTATAACAATAAACAGAACAGACACATACTGACAGTGAGAGGCTGGTACTCATACAGCTATGTTATAAAGCTACTAGTATGACAACTGGAAAACCTATACCAGCATTATTAAACCTGAACCTGGCAGATATCATATCAAGTATATGAGGCTCTACATGTAGATATGGCGTCAACATTGAAACCGTGCTTTCCTTAGCTGACGAAAGGTAGGCAAGTTTTTGTTTTTGTTTTATATTCTATATTCATGTTATTTATTTTCTTCACTTGCCCTTCGGGGACGTTTCACCTTGAGAAGAGTGATAAATGATAGTATCTTAAGCCGCCCAATTTCTCACGCATCTCGTCTTAATCCGTGTCCGAGAGCCACTCGGTCCATAAGGGCCCAAATGTCACGGTAATGACATTCTTACGGAGTTGAAGTGTAATGTGCCCATCCCTACAAATGGCCCATAAAGCCTCGCGGATCCTGCGCAGCCCGGGGGGGATTAGGCCGGCCTGACCCGCTGAACTTCGCCACGGGGGTGTCATGTAATCTAAACCTTGGCCTCTGGGCGTCACGGAAGGAATTCTGTCCCGTCCCCGACACAGATGAGGGGGTGTCGGGGGGATAGTGGCATCAGTCAAGTTCATATCAGAAGGATCTGTAAGGGGTTCCTGGGTACCTTGTAAATCTAATCTGGTACTGGTTCCGAAAAGAAATTCGAACAGTTGAACTGCTTGAATTATTCTGCAACTAATAAGTTACTAGGTGAGCGACAGCAGGACGGTACTGGACCTAATTCTCGATCTTCTTGTGAACCTAGGGTCACTAATCACTTTACTACGCTCGCTCGCTACACACGGATCGACTAGATCTGGAGAAACGTGAAACGCGTAACCCCCGCTGAAATCCTCAGAGATGATGAACAGCGGCGTCCCTTCCCTGGTCGGACGTCTGTTTGAAGATCCTATTGTGCCCGCAAATATTTGAGGAAGTGGCAGTCGAAACGCTGAGCGGCATTCCTGAGACGTGAGGACCAGGCACAGGGTGTCTGAGTACAGAAGGGCGAGAGAAGACGGCTGCACGACCGGATAGAAGTTACCGAATCACCCCAAGTACAGACGATAAACACGCGCGGGGCACGGAGAACAGAGGGCAGACGCGTCCTGAGCTGTGCTGGGACCGACAGCTGCCCGAGTCCGGACGTCTGGGTAAAACTACACACGCCCTTCTTGTCGGGCACCTTTTTCGGGCCGTTCTCGTGGCAGAGCCTTGCCAACTTGCAGAGCGTTCTTCTGTCGTGGGTTACAAATAGAAGTTATGCGCTAAAGGATTCTCCTGGAGGCAACTTGGACAAGAGTCAAGGAGGAGACAGACGCTGAGAGGGAGGCGGAGCCTAAGGACCAAGGACGGCAAGGGTAAGGAGTTCTCCAAGTCACGTTTGTGTGGGTTGTCGCCAAGTGGGTCACGACACTGTGTGAGGTAAATTTATATATGTGCATGGCGATATCAGAAGTTGCCAAAACTATGGAAACTCGATTTAACTTTTACCGCGTTCTGGCAGATAGGAAGTAAAGTTTTACTCCATCGGTATCGAACTATGAGACCATGAACCAAAAATGTTGGTGCATGATCTTCGTTTTTAGCTCGCCCATACGTTTACATAATTTGTTATAGAAGGTGTCAGGTTTATAATGCTGCACAAGGTGACCATGGCTCATGGTGCAGACCTTGTCAAGTTTGATGACGGATGATTTGAGCAAGTGCCACGGACAGGCTTTCAGCAACGTCTAATCACCGACCATACCGATAACAGTGAGCACATGATATGGCAGTTGATTGGGTTGGACATGCTCTTGTGGATATAATTTTCATCTACAGGGCAATAGTTGAGTCTTTTGAAATTCATCTTATACGTGTCGCACTAGAAAGAATCTGTTTATCAAATTTCATAAATCATAGAAACGATCTCAATGCCCTCAAATTCAAACGTTCAGACATTCGACAAGTTAGAGAAGACACAATATTTTCGTAAAAGTTTACACACAGAAAACAATCGCCCGTTATATAGGAAGGAGTCTGTTTCACATTAGGCAGGCAACTGGCAAACCATGACAGGCAAACGGAGCCGGAGAAAACAGTTGTGTTGTTCTGCCATCCAGATGAAGATAAATGATTGTCAAACAGGAGATGAAGTGGGCTGCTGGCGGTGGGTTGGGAAAAGTCAGCGAAAAGTGTCGACCGTGTGTGGGACTCATTACTCACTCCACAGGGTAGGGCAGTCTACGTATACAGTTATATATACAGCGACCTCTCCCCAAAGAAACTATGCAGAAAGTGTATCGTGAATATCGGATCAGCCTGAATCTTATTACAGTAATCTCCTTGCAAGAATTGCGTCCTCTGAAGTCTTCATTAAGATCTACGAACGTCCTCCTGATCAAATGAAGGCTTTGCCCGCAACAAACATACTTTCGAAATAGGAAACCTTACGCAAAGTGCAAGTTACTGGTACTTTTCGCAGATTACACAAGCTCAGTACGGTGCATCGTCCAGGAGCAGGTGAATTGGTTCCGTGGAGATGGAACATGGCGTTTGAAGACTAGGAAGTACACCCCAGCTCTCCTTCTGAAGGATGGGAATTTTTGACATGCCTCTAGGCCCGGGGTATTTCCTCATATTCGATTGACCTACAGGCTAACGAGCTGTCAACAGATATCAATCCTGGTGAAGGAAAACACTCTGCATGTTGAACACATGTCAGGTTGTGCAAGGAGTATAAAAACTCTGTCGGTGCAACTACAGTTTTCTGAACCGGGCCTTCCTATATCCTACCAAGATGGCGTCTGGCATCATGCAGGGCGGTCCTTAGGTGTGACCTTACGCACCGACCTTGGTCATACGTTGCTGTAGTGTTGGACCACATATCGTATATTCTATATTAGGATCTGTTTGCATTCTGCTAGTACACTGCTAGTATGTGTAACCTCCTGCTCTCCGCCCGACTTAGCGATTTCACGTCAGTATACCGGAGGTCGGAGGCAGCCAATGAATCTGTTCTGGCAAAAACTGACTTTACAACTAGAGTTAGGATTATTATTCTTGCTCATTTAAACTAGATGCTTGCTAGAAAATCATGCCTTTAGATCCGTGATTTCATTGGCCTGAAAAATCAATTATGTTTCTGTCGGTATCAACTGATTCTTGCCGTTAAATTGAGTTCTTATCAACGATGACCATTTTTACCATGCCTGAAACCACAGGGTTGAAAACCTAACTGGAGAAGCACGGAGATACATTTACATTTATGTAAATCAAACAACAACAAGTCTTTTATAATCAGTCCAAGCTTTCGAGTTGCGATGTAAATTTATATCTGTGTATTTACGTGTTTTCTACGGTGTCAAAGTTGCCATGTGGTACCAATACCGCCATTGTGGCTCTGCCCGGGAAATGTGGGACGAACGCCAAGTTCAAACCACAAGACGGCAGATCGCCTGGCTTGTTTCTACAGGAACGGAAGTATCAAAAACGACTTAGCTTCACCATCACAATTGCAAATTGTACTGTAAGCCCTGAATCCCCTTACTGTACACAGTTGGGCTAGCATAAGACGCGCTGCCTTGTTTGGTAATGCGCACTGGAATGTCGTCGTCTTCATACTAGCTGTCATTCTCATTCTTGCGAAACAGCCACCAGTAAAATTATATACCAATCGTTTCAATATCGTAGTACTACAAGTATGAATTGTGCTATAACTTTCTCCGCTCCATTTGATAAACTTTTATTGCCGGTTCAAACGTCGTTTTACGTCAAGTTCAATAGCTTTGCCCGGTACAGCCGATCTTCTTGGTGACGTCATGAGCTGCCCGGGACTGGCACTGTGACAAAAGTGGCGGAGGGAGAAACCGGCAGCGCGGTCAGGATACTGGCAGCCGATCCATCATTTCGCCCAAGCCAAGATGAAATAGGATCTCTCTGCATGAGCTTGACTTTGTGGTTGAGGACACTGGCAATTACACCAGAAATAGAACTTGATAAACAGCCTGAGTTTGACCCTGGTTCACAGGCGTATTCAGTGGATCATTATACACAATTTTATCTTAATCAAACGACTACTGTGAACAAAACAAATCTTACTTATCCTTTTAAATTGCCTTACAACAAATTACCTCCACATGAAAAAGAAAAAATCAGTAGATCAAGGATTTTATAAGCTTGTTTAATCATTTTCTCACCGCCCTTGTTTATCATTCTATGGCTCATGTGTTATGTGTTATCAAAGGCGTCACAGGCCTGCAACAAATAAAACCTAACTCGAAATGGGATGTTTCTGGATCATTATTCATCAGACGATATAAGATCTCTGGTGTGTGGACAGGAGCCACTTGACCTTGGACTGACCGTGACCTTGGCCTTTCAACATGGACAAACGATGCCTTTATTACATATACATATTGCGCAAACGGGTCGATTGCTAACAAAAGACCCGAGAAGGCATTCGTGTACATAATTACTAACCACAGCACAAGGTGACGAAGGTTCTTGACAACCCCCACCCATCCATTGTTCACCCGCCTAGAATCTCATAACTTTGTTTCCAATTAGAGGGTGAGCATGTGCGGGCCGGCGGGCGGTGGCGTGCGGAGGGCGATGGAAGCGGGCGCGAGGGTGCGGGTGTTGTGGGCTCTGGTGGTCCTCCTGGTGTCTGCAGCGGTCGGGCAGGAGCTGGAGACGGTCGAGATCCGTCTGCGGGGCGGGAGTGACGACAACGAGGGGCGAGTCGAGGTTTTGTACAACGGGGAGTACGGGACGATCTGTGACGATGAGTGGAATATCAACGCTGCAAATGTGGTCTGCCGTCAGCTGGGGTACAAGGGCGCGGTGGACTTCAAACGGAGCTCGTTCTTCGGACCCGGAACAGGTATGAAAAATCTCCTCCATACTAAAAAGGAACATCGGACATTCTAACCAGAACGATCTTGTTGAATTGTTGTGCTCCGTTGTATGTGGTCACGATTACATCGGTAAACCGTCACATCCCTTCTGAAATACGATATATTATTGACTTTGGGAAAGACCGTTTCACACTGCAAGGGATGATGTTTTCGGATTACATAATTCAATTTTAGGTGTAAAAGAAAGAAAACAGTTTGCGCTACCGTTTAATGGATTATATACAAGTAGTACTAAAATAGTTTTAATCGGAGCAACCAGATAAAGTATGACATTTTGCATTCCGTATATTTACTGTGCTGTCCCGTAATGTTGGCCGTGTCCGTGGTGAGAGATGGTCAAGACGGAGGTCGCCTGAAATGGTCTGCTGACGCGCACGGTCAGAAATCGTGATGACGGTTCGGAAAGTTGCACATGGTGCGGAACGTTGCACGTGTGTGTGTGTGGGGGGGGGTGAGGGGTTGAGGTCATTGAACTCCAGAGGGAAATCTCACCTGTAACCTACTTACGATTCCAAATGACAAGTCACGTGTGGCTGAGGGATATTCGGGCGTGATCTCTGTAACTCTGTAGCGGCGTTAGGTTATTAATGTGGACAGGTGCATAGCATGCCAAGAGAGGCGTGTCAGACAGGCATGACCCTGGTGGTTTCCGGGTCACTTCCACCGGGGCTAATATTGCAGACGCCTTGTCCCTTCGTTCCTCGGATTAAGCAACAGGCTGTTGACAGAAGTTGACTGGACAGTTTTGGAATTGACGAGTCTTGAGACCTTTCGTGGCACACTGCCAACACTTTGGGCTAATCAGAGACTTTGTTTCAGTCGGACGTGAGAGGAAGCAGGCCAGCAATGGCGGGAACACACTCGTTCCCAGGATATTGTGATCATGGTACTCCAATGAAACACAAAAAATCGTTTCTCCGCTAACAAAAGTACACACCAGACTCCGTGAAAGCCATCATGTCTAAACGTATCTTAAGAACTTAAGAGCTTGTCCTAAGCCCTTGGTTGTGTGTGTCCCGCCACATAAATATATGTTTCATGGCAAATCTTATACCAAGAGACAAATGTTCTCTTAGCGTGCAACACTAGCCTGATGTGGATGTACTACTATCCCACTGCAATTGGCACCAAACGTAATCCATGATGTGCAGAGTTCAATAGATAAATGAGTGGTAGACTAACAGATAGATCGAGAAGAGGAAAGAATAAATAAGGACGTGGAAGAAACACTGTGACGGGTCGATCGATTGAAAGTAACAAGTAATTGTGACGTTATGTCTTGTTAGCACAATGAAGTGTACAATCTTTTTTCCAGGACGCCACTGCATGTGTAACGTTAGGTACGTAATTTTTATAGTGAATCTGTCTGATTGCTAAGATCATGTGTCATGAATTCATAACCAGGGATTTTCCCTTGGTGGTCTAGACTGCTGACGCACTTGTTCTTTATGCACAAGACTTGTTATATGTCTAGACACGATATTTCCTGTCTGCTGTAATACTGGTGTTCCTCGCTCCGTTTGCCCGTGATCAGAGCCCGTGATTGTGTACAGACAGGGGGGATCACACCGCGACCTGCACGGCGAGTTGTGCCCCATCTAGTGTGAACAGGTGGCTTTACTAACGAAAGCCGTCATGCACTATTGGGGACAGATATAAGGGGGGCATTTAGCAGCGTTTATATATCGTTAAGAATGGTGTGTGCCATCCTGCTAAACAAGTCTGTATGGACACACCGTATAAACACGAGTAGAACGAACCAGTTTGATACGGTCACTGTGGTAAAGGCAGGTCATGGGCAGGTCACCGTTCTGTCACGGGTAGCTCGCAGGTACGTCAACGATTCAGAGTCATCAGTGCACCTATCAGAGTAAACCCGTGTGGCAGAATTTCAGTCATAGGGTGTCCAGAAGAGCCCAGGCTATGCACAAACCACACTCCCCTTCCCCTAACATGCCTCCTACTGGCGAGGAATGTGCCCTAACCTCATCGCACTCTCCAGAGTCCAGATGATGTTGATTTGCCGGGGTATTCAGTAGGGACACTGATGTCCTTGAATCTGGCCTGTCACCAAGGCCAATGAGTTCCGTTACCTTTGTGAATTTACATGTAACGTTAGCTGTTGTTTTCCTACCTCCCCATTGGAAAGTTTATGTTTTCACAGTTGTGTCAAGTGTGTTTGTTTGTTTACTTGTTGATTGAATGATTTATTTGTTGCTTGCTTTCGTGATTGCTTGGTTGCATGGCTTAAACCACGAGAGGAACTCTCTGAAGAGTTTTCCGAGTTCGTATGGAATGTTTAATGCTGCATTTAATCTCCTTGGTCGTGACCTTGAGGACAACACAAATAACTAGCGGAATATATGGGTATCCGCGGGGGCGTTGGGTTGTCTCTGTGGGCTGATTCAGTAGCTGACTAACATGCATGGGATTTATTCATCTGGTTCGTCCCTTTCTCCCGCTCTCCTTCATATATGTCTATTGCGCTTTTTAGGCTATCGTCAAAGACTTTGTATCTCGTACTCAAATGGTGTCTACATGTACAGTGTAAGACAGGAATAAAGCAAAATGATACCGTTGCTCGCTCTATCTTTTAGAGGGTCTTCCTATTATGGAGTGATCATTGTCATGAACTACTCATGATCATGATGTACATAACGTTGAACTTGATCATGAGCGATTGTTGGCGTCTTGAATTAGGTAAATCAGTATAACTATTATCTACCTAATCAACGGTATCGAAGATAAACTGCTTGACGGCCCATGGGTAGAAATGTCAACTTTGGTCGGAGGCCATCCCGAAATACCACGGAGATCGTGGAACAGGAAACCGCAGACTCGCCCTCACCCCTCCCATCCGGTTTCCTGACTCGGTTTCCTCCTGATGGATCGGTCGGGAGGACAACCTGTTTCTCCTGGGAGGGGCGGTACAACTGTGGGGATGTTAGGGGAGGGTCGGGAGGACAACCTGTTTCTCCTGGGAGGGGCGGTACAACTGTGGGGATGTTGGGGGAGGGTCGGGAGGACAACCTGTTTCTCCTGGGAGGGGCGGTACAACTGTGGGGATGCTGGGGGAGGGTCGGGAGGACAACCTGTTTCTCCTGGGAGGGGCGGTACAACTGTGGGGATGCTGGTGGAGGGTCGGGAGGACAACCTGTTTCTCCTGGAGGGGCGGTACAACTGTGGGGATGTTGGGGGAAGTAATCTCCGAGCACATATTTCGGTGGCAGAGTCGTATCCAACTGGCAACACAATAGTCAATATCCAATAGACAAGAAACTGTCCAAAAGGCCTCCGAAGAATAAAGGTACATGGAAGAAGGCCATTATCTTCTCAATCAACCTCTGCTTGGAGAGTAGCTGGGGGGAGGGGCTGTCGTAATCAGGCCTACATTAATGTGATCAATTACACTGGTCTCATTTACATGGACGTGCATGATTTGGTCTCCACATAACATCATCCGAAAAATTCACTTTTAGTCATTTTGATACAAAATAGCTTGTTTGAAATGCTTATATATCATTCAGTGGACAAAAAAAACTGTAAAGTGATCTGATCCTAGCAAACAAGATTACCGGCGCATGTCAGATTCACGTTTGTGTGGCCGTCCGCAAGCTGACCATGACCCGCGTTTAACGAGATGGCTGTGAATGCGTACCCCAGCAACCAGGCCAAGGACCAATTTTATCACCCTACGCACACGCCCAGGTTGACGACGCTCAGGAAACTGACCCAAACCATGTTTAGGTGGGGAGCGAAAATACTAAGTACAAAACCGCATTTACGTACTCGTCTGTCCCTTCTGTAGGTCAGGTTTTCCTGGACAATGTCGTCTGCAAAGGGAACGAGACCAAGATAGGCGACTGCTCCCATCGCGGGTGGGGGAAGAACGACTGTAACCATGACGAGGACGCCGGCGTCGTCTGCAGCACCGAGGTCCGGGACGACATCGACATCTCAGACCGATACGTAAGTCAGGTGAGCCCCCGTAGTGAGTCCCGCATGTTAGCTAAGTTATAATATCTGTAGTTGTATAACAACGTAACACGACTGACGCTCCCTTTAGCAACAGTAACACAACACTTACAACACAACATCGTCGTCTTCAAGCACATGGGAACTGGAAATAGCAACACGTTTTGTTTTGCGAATATCACCTCTGCAAAATATCACAAGACGTGTCATTTTCCTTCCGCCATCTGCTTGAAGACTACATTGGTAGTAACGTAGTACGTTAAAGGACATACTACTCCATTCACCACCTTAGTCGCATCCTATGCCGACTTTCCAACACATCTACTACATCTACTGTCTGTCAAAATTAGAATTTGCATACTGCAGAGTCTTGCGACTGTCGAAATGGTCATCTGTGAAGCTGTGACTGACCGCCCCTAGAGGTACGTACGCTGGAAATATAGATGAAGCGAATCAGGCCAGGAAAAAAATGGTAACTTGCCCAAGTGTGCACTATGTAAGTTATCGAGTGATTCACTGGAATTCGGTAATTATCCTGGCCTTTGGTCAGTCTGCATATTTCTGCCTGGCGCACGTCAATTCTCCCTACCTGACCCATTTGTGTCTAGATCTGGGACCTACTCTGACATACGACATGCACGCCAGCATGTGTAGTTTTTGACAGAACGAGCGTTATCAGTGTCCGACTGTGGTCACCTGACGCCTAGACTAACGAGTGTGAAATGAGATCCCCATCAACTTGTCGACGCCCTGGATTTTATCCCGATTTCATCGAGTCTGAGAAAAATTCGTGTATTGTCTGAGTTAGTTAGATTTTTATCTATCTTCAACAACAGCAGATGAGACCTTATTTTGACTGGGGCGTACATCACATCTGTGATTTATTATGGACGACCTTCCCCTTGACAATGCGTGTCTGCAGTTCAGTCCAACTTCGCAAGGCGGCGTACTTGAAAACAGCGACAGCGACGCTTGTTAGTAGGCAAGCAAATGATCAAATTTACTTTTTCTAGATATCAGTTATTAAAAAACTTGAGGCTATTGACAATCCTGTACCGCTTCGAATCGCTATCAAATAACACAATGTCACGGGATAGTCCACGCACCAAAAGCACCATAGGGTTGCTGTACATGTATTTCGAAGAAATTAGAACACATACTGTAAATGCCTACCACAGATACTATAGTATCTCCTTAGGTGTGGCAATCTCGTTATCAATCATTCCCAATACTAGTATAACATGAGGGTGTAGTTTGTTACCTAACCGCTTGGGGGTTCTTCGAAAGTTGTGTTTAATACTTGAACTAGCGCATGTCGTTATGTGAGAATTCAATTTGAAGTTTAGATAATGGTGCAAAACTGGACTCTATGGACCTGTGTTACGACAGAAGACCATCTGTACGCCACACCTTTACTATTGATGCCAAACACAGAGGGAGGTGCAGGTGTGTTTGGTGTTACGAACTGGTTTCTGTCCTAACGGTGGTAAAATTACAAGTAGTGAGAAGGTGGCTGCAGACGGAGAAGTGAGGGCGTTGGAAAGATCAAAGATGCCTTTGTCGTGACCACCTGAAGACGTCTTATTGATGAAAGTCAAGACGTCACTTAAACCAAGCAGTCCCCTGGAACTACATGTACCGTTAGCTGTCAGCTCTGTCTGGTGTAACTGAGACAAAACGACTGGTCCTGCCAACACATGTGATCTGGCCCAGGCCACCTTTGGTATTACATGCAATTTATGGTATAACGTACGAAGTTGGGTCTTGGCGTATGATAGCAGCTCTATCTACCCGTGAGTAAACGAGGCTGGGTTTCTGTTGATGGACATGGTTGTGAGGGTGAGGTCGCCAAGGAATGTGTATATAAGTTGTGTAATCATGGTATGAAACATAAAACATGGTGTAATCGCGTTATGAATTACGATTTTCTTGCTTAGTACGGTAAAAACTGCTTCGTCTTATTCTATTGGGCCGTGGTGGTGAAGACTGCAGTGCCCCACCCTGTCCCAGAATGTCGGGATCAGGCGAAGAATGCGGAGTCTTCAGTTCAGACGTGCCGGTGGTCACGTTAACCCATGGTGCAGATCCACGCTGGGGAAGCCCTGACGAGTCAGCTGGAGACATGTGCGCAGAAAGAAGACTTGGTGGTTCCTGTCATCTCGATGATACTGAGCATGCTCAGATGGATTCTCTGGATTGGTCCCACACGTACGTGATAGTGCGAGCTGTCAGACGGTGCAATCATCGACGGAATGCAATTTTTGTTTTTCAAAATTAAGATGCTGCCCCCTAATCGACGAACATTTATAACAACTTGGAAGAAATTTATCCTTCTCGTCTTGCCCTGGCGATCTCTCTGATACGTCGTTTGTTAATGTCAAGGGAAGCTCCATACCGGGATGATAAGGGTTGGGAGGGGAGAGATGAGTAGGAGGAAGACGTGACGTAACAGACTTCTATCTGATGACCTTCCGAAGAAGGATGCTTCGATCCGTCAGTCAAATTGTCCATCATGACGAAACACGCACCACAAAACAGACGTTTGGTTTAGCGATCCGGATCTAGTTTGATTTTATCCAGATTGCTTTCTAGTTGATTGACGTTTAAGCCTGTTCTTGGAGTCCGGCTCCACCCAATAACCTATTGAACTCGATCCAGCGGGGTTCGGCCCGCACCCGACCCCACCGGATTGTCACTGGGTTAGGAACTGATGACGTCGATGTTATATCCGTACCCTGCCCAGACAGTCACGGAATCCTATCCACCTGTTTCACTCCTGCGAACATTTACGCATTTCTTTAATCTGTGCTCAAAGATTGGAATTCTTGTTCCGGCTGGATGCATTTGAAGGAGCCTACCTGGTGACTCTACTTCTAGTATTCATAAGATCCTGGTCACAATTCGTCTTACGATTGTCGTACGATTAAAAAGGGAATTCGTACATATATCGTTCAAAATTCAGCGATCCTGTTACCGAAAATGCTGTCTGAGATCGGTGGTTCTGTCACAGCCTGTTTGGAAACGTCAGGAAGGTCGTACGGCGGTACGGCGGCCTACGACGAAAGCGATCGCGACGTTACCGTAGAGATTCTGTGTCTAGTCAATTCAGAGGCTCTGTTCTCTAGATGAATCATGCTTCCCATGCCTCCTACATGCACCTTCTCAGAAAGCGAAGTTATAAATTCATATCAACTTGTGGTGGGATTCAGGGATTTTTCATCACTGATCCGTCCTGTTCCAGGCCGTGACATCTCAGGAACCCCAGGCCTGTCACCAGATGATGGGGAAACGCATGAGAGTAATGGCTAGGGCTTATCCTGGTCGTATCTTAATTAGAGTCAGATAGTGGTTTTACTATCTGATTTATGCCAAAAAAGCCCGAGGCTGTAATATATATCCTGTTACATGATTGCCTTGGAAAGTAAAAGTAGTCACTGCAAAGTACGGGAGATGAGAGAACAAATTCGCTCGTCAGAGTGTTGACCTACAGATTACAGAGGGCATTACTCGTGATCCATTCCTCACTATAACATAAATAAGTCAGTTTTGTGATGGTAATTTCCTGTTTTGTGGCGGGAAATCCATATCTTGTGGGCGGTGGTGTCCGTAGTAGGTTTGGCACAGAGGAAATCGTGGGAAGAGGAAACCGCGCTATGACGAAGGAACTCAACATCTCTGCCAAATGCACTTGGCTTATTCACGACCATGGTAATGTTCAACGCCGATATCTTAGATCTAGATTACAAAAATAAGTGTTTAAGCGCCAAGGCTTATCGGTTTAACCTATGGCACAGTTCGAATCCGCAACAGCCGACTGAAGAGAAACCATGTCTGTGGTTGACGTACTGGCCTGAACCAGCCCACAGGTATTCGGGTATCAGGGGTTATCCCCGGTGTCTGTGCTTTGTAAGAAAACATGCGGTGACCATCCAACTCATCTCTAAAGACAGACTGCGTCTACTATGGCCCTGACCTCTTCGGCTTTCGGAAAGGCTAAAGTCCTAAAAACTAAAGACCACGTCTGTGATCTTCTATTTTAAGATCTATTTTTCCCACCAACACGTCGGAGTTTCCCTACTACGTTTTCCGGTGCGTGGGTTTTGGTACGTGATTGGCACTACCACACTCCCTGTCGGAAGTTGTTTTTCGTGGCCTTTCTCATGACCATGGCGTTGTGTTTCGGGGAAAACCGGGGGTTTTCAGGTGGAAGTGAACGATCGTGACGACAACTGCAGACGACATTGATCCAAAGCAGACGATTCCCTGTTTTTCCTCGCCTAGACATGACGTGCCACAAGGAAGTTCTCGGAGAATATTCTGTCTGCTCTCCTGTAAAGGTTGTGCCCTGGACGCCGACCAATTAGCGAGACGTGCGTAGGAGCGCCCTAACGCTGCGTCTGCCTGAGTCATGGCGGGAAATTACGAGACGGAGGCAGGGATGGGCCGTTTTACGCCGTGTAGTTTATCAGATACCTACTTCTTATCACCATCATGTCTCAATAAGAAACTGAGCTCTGAAGATTTGGAACAAATTGGAGCTCTGCGAAATTTATTTATGTCTGAACTGAAGTCAAATATCGCTACAAATATAAACGTTATGGAGGTACCACATAAATGGAGGTGCCACAGCGTAGAGGGAACAATGTTCTTTACTTTGACTTTAGTATTAAGACATTTGAACGTGAACTGCATATTCAGTGATGAAGTATAATACTAGCCTTCCAAACGTCGTGCCACAAGCTTTGGAACATGGCTTTCCAGATTTACGTGACCCTGTTAGCTCAAGATTAGCACCAACCAGAAGATAATCCTGTCAATGTGCTGATGTGTACTTGATTATGATAAGACACACAGGTCCTCGGAGACGCGTGTAAGGCAGGTCTTATCTCCTTACCGTGATGCACCTGTTCTACACATGTTTGTGACGTGACAGGTTTCTGCGTGGTCGTTTGTGCACCTGTCAATCAGCCGCCATGTTGATCACGGTCGGCCATTAGGCGTGAGAAATCCCTCCTTCGCCCAAACCGCAGTGCCTCACGTAAATGTGGCAATAACACAACGGGGAGAACTAGTTGTCGCCTTTGGAACTGTTTGCAGAGAACAGATGGGTGTGATGTTTGGTTGACCTGTGCCCTGAGCATCCACAAGTGCCTACCCAATCAAGACTGCTTCAGACATCTAACATAGTTAGGCGAAACGTCTTAACGAAGAGCAATTTTGCTGATGTTTTTATGAGTTTCTTTTGGGTCTTTTCCAGCAGCTAAGTGTCACTTAAAGCTGCGTAGGTGGAAATAACTGATGCATTTCACGGTCCTCTCAGAGTCATCGCTGAATCATCCCCAGTGCGGGAATCCCCCACCTAGTAAACTTCCCGGCCTCTGATTGGCGTGTCCATGGTGACGCAGGCGACCCCCAGAACTGTACAAATAGTGCAATACTGGAATTCATTACTCACAGCGCTGGAGCAAACACACAGGCCATTCCTGAGACTTGGGAGACAAGCCGGCGACAGCAATGGCCATGGAACGACATTTACGGGTTCTGTTTCTGTTCTTGGTGGCTGCAGTTCCCTCCACGCTGGCCTGGCTGGTAAGTACCGCCGGTTACAATGGGCGAAAGGTTCGCATTTCCAATCAATACGCCAGAGACTCATAATATGATAGGCAGGGGGAACATAGTCTGGAAAAAGGAAAAATAAGGTAATTGGTGCCAAACCTGTGTCAATGAACCCACCGGTCCTTGTCGTAAGCAACTGGCACACAAATAACTGCTCCCTGCAATCTGGACAGGATCCAGAATCTGTCCATGTTTTGATCGCGGAGATTTTTAATGGCTGGACCATTAGGTAACTGCAATAGAGGTGCTCTTGAAAACGGACAGCTGTTTCTGGTACCTGATATTGCTTCGTCTCAGACATTTCATCCACCTCTTGTCGTTTCGTATTCACTTGCAGATCCTGAGCGATGTGAACGACAAAGTAATATACTGTATTTCGAATGTTTAAAATTGTGGAGTTTCAAACGTGTAACCAAGGAGCTCGGAAGACTGTTTGAAGCTGTTTGGTGCAGCTCAGCTCTACTTTGTAAAGGATCTTACTGTGTCGTGTGGCTGACTTTATCCTGGCTTAACTTCCTTGTCTCGAGAAATACCTAAAAAGGAGACGGGGCCTTGAACCCCTGGAGCTTACGCTCACGTGGATGTTCTGTTACGTAGCGCGAAGGACTACGTCATCCACCTGACGTAGTTCAGAACAATCTGGATTCAGCGAGGGATGGACCGTTGTTTGTTAGTGAAGGTTCGGAGGCACCTGCCTTCGAGGCAATCGGTTCGTGTTGTGAAAACGATGAATTAGTGTTAAGATCAATTGATGGTTGTTTTCCATCGCCTCAAATTATTGCTCATAGGTGTGGTTGAAGTTGGACACGTAATATAAAGATCTGTTTGTTATCATCTTTTTATTATCTTTTGGACGACAGAGACACAGCTACAAGAAACGGTCTGTCCCCAATGCATAGCAGCTGTGTCGTGTCTTATACAGGTTTGTACCTAAGGTGTATGTGTCCTGTCTCATGTCTCGGGGTGTTTAGACATCTAAACCCTCTAGTATAACAAATAAGAGCCCTACTGTGTGAAGTGTCCCCATAAATTCGGTAGTAGACCAGCCCCTCCCGAGATGTCCCATTTTAGAAAGGTCAAACTGCTTGGAATGCTCGCTATTCTCTCTGGGTAGGCCTTTCCTCTGATGTTTTGGGAAGTCGTTTTACCGGGACATGTTCGCTTTTCAACAGCTCTTGTAAGAAACACAAGCTTCATTCACCCGATGTTTCGGGCCGCACACACCTGGCTCTTTACATATGGTCGTAGTCAGTTACTGCCATTCCTTTGTCTGTGAGGGCTAAATTGTAGAGACACGGTCTCACAAAGTGCTTTGTTGGTCAAGTGCATGAAGGGCACAACGTCTTCCTGTTTTTGCGATAATTGGTGAAAAGAGGCGGAAGTAACGGTTCAGATATCGTCTGCAGTCTGAGACACAAATGGCAGTCGTTTTCCAGTTGCTTTTCTCTTGTCTAAGTTTTAAGGACCCGGTGATATTTGTATCTTGGAAACATTCGCTGGCACGATTGACACTTTTGTAATGTCATCTTAGACATCTTACTGTTAATGCAAAACCTGTCTATGCATTGGATATGTAACATCAAGGACATTACTGTAATGTCCTTGGTAACAAAAAAATATAACTTTGAATTGTAAGATTTAAAACCTGTCAAAGGAAGCGGCTTTACCTGCAAACTGCAGACGAAGGGGACATGGTAGAGGGTTCAACATGTCTACTACACAGGCGTTGTAGCAACAGGACAGATAAACCATGTGGGGAAACTGAGCGAGGAGGCAGTAATATGTATATTGACGAGCATTGTATAACTTTAAACCTATAGCTATCTACATGTAGATGTCTTCGACACAGCGTTTTTGACATCTGATTTTTCCTAACTCATCCCCGGCCCTGAGCTTGTGTCAGTTCACATTGGACAGGATACACAAAGGACGTTCTCTGTATCATCAGTAACTTTTGGGTACGATTTGTAACGTTATGACCTCTGGACATCTGAAGATCCATCCGGAGTAGATCGATATCGATACCGTAGCTAGACTAACTGCTATTTGATGTTTACATTGGCTGTACTTGACCTTGACCGCTGCACGTCACTTGAGGATACACAGGTAGATAGGAAACCGGCTAATCAGTTACAAACCTTGACCTTTCGCAGGCCTCTTGACCCAAGGTCAACGAGAAGAGTCATCTATGATGAATTTCCTACACTCAAGGGGGAGGGGGTATATTGTTTTATCAAATGCTTTCCTGTGTCTGACTCACCGACTATTCGAAACATCCTTTCACTCTTGAAAGAGCAACATGTCACAAACACTTATTTGACGTAAGTGCCTTATTGCAATGGCGTCACGAGTCAACAGAATAGCCAACTATCTGATAAAGCGAAGATGTAAAGTACAGGAGTGTGTAGGAGAGAAAGGGAAGCTGTTGTTGTCAGCTAGCACCACATGGAAGCGGCTGATACCGGCGATCAGTCACCACAAACCATGCCAGAAACGCATGCGGCCAATTGTCACCGTGACCTTCGTTTGACAAGTTCAACATCAGAGATCAGACCTGTAACTACTTAGCCCTCATTACGTACTAGACCCTGCTGCGGAGGGGACGTCCGACTTGGGAGTGGTTTCACTTAGTGCAGATTTCCTGCTCAAGATTAGAGGGTGAAGATCAGGAAATATGGGCGTTTTTTTCCGGAGATGAGTTTTTTTACGGACGAAAGTCATGTTGTCAACAATTGGAGGGGAAGTCGGCGTTGTTGTCGGGTCAGAATGTGAGGAATTTCATACGCGGAGACGAGGCTAGACCACCGGGTAACTTGTAAACAGTATTAACCTCGCGTGTTTGAGCTGGGCGACCCATGTCAGCCCTCCGTTCTGTTTCAATAAACAACTGTCGTGACGGACAGTCGATCACGTGACCTTTGGAGGTTGAGTCGAGTACGATTGAAATTTAGATTTTTTTTAATTCTAAAAATTTAGTAGAATTACTAGAAAGCTGAAGGGGAGAAGTCAAAGTGTTGTCACGCATAATAATTTGGTGATATCAAATGCTATATTTAATATCATCTAGAAGATTTTCTTACACTGGATTAGTGTCGAGTACGTACAGTAATTTGGCAACCTATAGATAATATCAGTGTGTCACATCACCTAAATCAAATAAAGAAAAATGTATTCTTCCTTCAGTTACCGTCATGGTATTTAAAACTTGTCGTCCTTCCACATGCTATGGAAACGGTCACCCCCCCCCAACAACGTGACCCCGTTAATCATTATAAGATGCAAAAGGTAAAGGACCTATAATTACCTCATTTGTAGCTTCCAGGCGTACTTTTATACAATCATTTAATGCACTTCTGAACACACAGTTACAACCTGACGTTAAGAGTCCAATCAACCCCAGAGATCACAAGAAAAGCTATGAAGGATTCAGTTTGTACCAACATTACATTATATATATATATGCATACATATATAGAACATATTTCAACAACGTAGATTCCAATAGTTGACGGTGACTGACGAAATCTACCTGACTATGATATACCAAATGAGCGACATTCGTAAATTTACTACCACAGCGTTATGATGTTTGTACTTAAAGGACACGTCACTAAATCTGTAGATTTGTGTTGTTTTTTTACAGGTGACTCTAAGAGTGGGTGACATCAGACTACGAGGCCTCACCAAAAGATTACCTCAGGCGGAAGGATACGTGGAGATCAAATACCAGGAAAAGTGGTGGCCGATTTGCGCAGATGGATGGGACTATAACGACGCTAAGGTTGTTTGCGGTCAACTGGGGTTCAGGGACGCCCTCACAGTCGACCTTCGGAAATACAGGTGCCCCAACTTCTGCTTGTTTGACATACTATGCTATACTCGTTTAACCTCTAATACAGTCTAACTCCAGTAAGCTACGTATAATTAGTATAGCGAAACAACGCCATTCCCTTCCTATTAATCTTTGAGTCTTCTAGGAACAGAAACCACATGTTGGACTGACTCAAAGCTAGTTTGCTGAACCTTTTGATCACGGTGTGTCACTGGTATTTGGAATGGAAATGTGAAGGACGGTTTTTGACTATGAGCACTCCATGTATCCAGAACAAATTCCGGAGGAAAAAAACACAAATTCCGGAGGAAAAAGATGCGCCCGTGTTGTACGCGACAACAACCTGACCAGGGTCAGTCCACACAGGGTCTGTCCCACAGGGTCTGTCTCTCTGTCTACAGATTATCCAAATAAATTCAATGTTGTGGCCGAACTTGTAACCATCCCTGTCAGTGTCAGATATTTTTTAGCCATGTTACTCTCCGTAGCCACGCTAGCTGATGTCATATGTATATTGATGAATGTATATAATGAAAACAGACGAATGGCTTCTTCTACCAACTTTTCGCGTGTTTGAGTTTTGGCAGAGGAATCGCGATACCTTTTATTGTGACATGGAAAATCAGTTTCAGTTATGTGGGATCAGTTCTGGGATAGCCGCCATATGCTTTTGTAGCTTTGTAACTTTGACAAATGAGATGTTCCTTGCCCTCGACAAGCCGCTTTGGTAGCAATGACTCCTGGTACACGTAGTGAACACCAGAAAACAATTACAGACATGTCGTCCGTACGTTTTAGACCTGCGTATTTTGGCTTACAGCAACACGCGGCGTGCGGCTCCCGTACCCCGGGTCGGTGCACTCAGGAGTGGCCCTTGGAAGGTCACCTGGCTAGGCACCAAGCTGTAGACAACATCGGGTTTGTTTCCCTCTGACACGCGCGTCACGCGGCTAGCACCACCTCATAAATCTTCATGGGAACTTTATAACAGTCACACTACCGCCACAGAAGATCACAGAAGCCAATTTTACGGAGAGAGGTGTCCTTGACGCCAGGTGAGCAATGTGACGGTTGCACGATTCAGTAATCAAACGCAGATGAGAACTGCTGTTTGCTTACGAAAGCAAATGATCCACGTACCTTGCTTTGATAAATCTGGGCTCTTGCGGAAGTGTTTCCAACTTTCTGCGCTCCTCTCTGGACGTGGGCCCGAACCAGCGGCGTCCAGTCACCAAGTAATCTGGAACTGGGTTGAAGTGAGCTTTTACGGGTATTGCAGGATATCCCAGAGCTCGCTTTGAGATAGTTTCAATATCAGATATCGGTAGCTTTCATCTGAAGCACTTGTGATTACTGTTTACTTTGGCGCGTTAGATTGCGTACATTGTCCGGTATGTGCAGATGTAAATAAAACTGGAATATGAGCATGGGTTCTGAGGCGGGGAAATTCTATTCCGTCAGATTTTGATGTCGGAGCGGAATACTTGAATGTCTTTCTTTAATTAAAGAGTTTTAAAGAGCTTCTTGCTTAAGGTACACTCGCTGATGATCGTAAATACAAAGCTGGCTACAGCACAATTCTATGAAGACGACGATGTTTGAAATACTCCAAACTTCCGACTCGTGCACAACTAGCAGATAACGAATCATCCAATGGTTCCTTGAAAAAACACTTAAAGAGATATTCAGCTCGTTCATTCAGACATTTCGGAGAAAAATCCGAATTCCACGGATACCGTAAGAAAAAGGATTCTTTTTATCAGCATACATTTTACTTTGTCCAAACGTGACATGTTTAGAAAGAACATAGCTATACAGTATGATAGAATCTGGGATTCCATTTTTTTAACCTAATACAACAAGTGTCAAAGCGTTAAGCCCACGTGGTGGCAGGAGCATCGGCTATCATCGATTTACGTCATATCGAGGTCACAGGTCATCCAAAACATCCGGCGCGGATCGTCAACAATCAACATTGACGTCACTGGGGTGATCCATTTCAACTGCTGCTATTTTTGACAACAAGAGTGAAAAGGTTTCGCCCCGCTGGTACATGGCCCTCTAATAATAGTTCATCTTTTTTCACCCAACTGTCCTGCCCCCCGCCTTGTTAATAACAACATGTATCTTGGCAGGGAACACTGCGTTCGTGCGTCAGAAAACCTTATCCGTGCGCGAAGCTTATTTATCAGGCCAGGTGTGGTTACGGCACGACATTAAAGATTTGGCGGTTCTGTCCTATTTATAGTCACGCCGTCTGTTTACAAAATGCTATTTTTGTCCTCCTCGTAACTTAAACATTTGTTGTCGTTCCCTCCATGTGGCAAGAAGACTTGTTTGAATACGTGCGCCAAATTTAGCAAAGTAACATCTCAATGTTCTGGTGTATAAATGTAAAGTTATGCTCTACGTTGGTGTTTCTAATATGTGATTTAAACATTAAGACACCGTCATGAGGTATGTGATATACCGGTAGTCAACGTTTCCAAACAACTCCATGTCTAGTAGTACTTCCCTCAAACCCTAAGTTAGTCTCGATCTCCACAAAGTTCATCATATCAGAGGTCGACCTCGCTTAGATGTGCTGCCAAGTTACAATGGGAATATATTCAGTATGTGCCCTCCATAACTACATGTATGTCCAGACCCAGCCGCCGAAAAGGAAGACAGACCTTTCCGTAACAAGACAGCTGATTTTTGCAGGGCACATCCATGAACATCCCAAGTACGCATTTACATTCGTAGTTTGCGATTGTACGACAATCGTACGACGTCTGTGACCGGGCCCCTTACGGTAAATTGTCTCCATTTTTTTACTTGTAACCTCCACCACTGACGGAATCAACTGTTGCTGCAGGTATGAGAGACCACTGTTACACAAGGACGCCTGGCTGACCCGGGTAGACTGTACGGGGTCGGAATCGACCCTGACGGAGTGCCGCCTGGAGAGACTGATCCAGGGAACCGTGTCCCTGCCCTGCCTGTCCAACATGACCGCCGTGGTGAAGTGTGACCTGGGCCCGCGTTACTCCGGAGTCTCCCCTACAACACATAGGAAGTTATCTGCTATTACCACACAGGTAGGTGTTGTAACGATACTCAGCCAACGTCATCGTCCAATGGTATATTTCTAATTTTAAAGGCAGTATGAAAGTGCAGACTTGAGAGGAGAAATGGGCCGCATAAGTCATAACCTTGGCCGTTGGCTACGAGTTGCGAATAAAAAGGGGATTCAGTATGTAAAAACTGAGGTGTACTCGTCTCATAGATAATTAACTCTGTAAACCTTTCTTAATTTCCGTAGCCCCAGTTCGTGCGGTTAAAAGGCGGTGCGAACACGGGTGAGGGCCGGGTGGAGATCTACTATAACCGGCAGTGGGGGACGGTGTGTGGCCAGTCCTGGGACCTGAAACAGGCTAGCGTCGTGTGCAGGGAGCTCGGCTACGGGTCCGCACGATCCGCGCCCAAAGGGGCACAGTTTGGGCAAGGTGAGCAACCTGTCCTTACTGGTTTGTTTGCTGTGGATTTGGACGTATAAATTAACCGTTGCGCAGGTGGGGGGGGGCTATTTGTTTTCACGTGTCATGTTGCATTAAACCTTCTGCTGTCATGCTATTTCATGGGTAACAAAGAGACCCCAAAAAGTGGCAATTATGGCTGAGGACAGCGCACTTATGACTCTAAATCACTATTACTTGTGCAAGTAACACGTAACCTATCACGTTACCCGGATGTCGTTCCCAGGTCATGGACCAGTCTGGTTGGACCACGTAGTGTGCACTGGGAACGAGCTGTCTATAGTGGACTGCGCACACTCCAACTTTTCTGCCACCAGCTGCACCCATGACCATGATGCATCAGTGCAATGTAACGTTCCGGATCTGAAAGTCAAGGAAAAGGTTATTTTTTTCAATATATTGTAGAAAATTTACAAACTGAAAATTTACAATAGTGCCAAGAACATCAATGGATTACCATGTTGCTCTCCGACGTTTAAACGTTAAAACCTATTTGATGGCATTTTATGTTACTGTGGCGTGTAAAGTAACTGGGCTGATGTTCACGGTAGATCCGTCTGTCGGGTGGGCGGAACCCGCGGGAGGGACGAGTGGAGATACAGAGAGGACGCAAGTGGGGAATCATCTGCAGCAACAGCTGGACGTACAAGGAGGCCGGAGTGGCCTGCAGACAGCTGGGGATGGGATACGCTCTGCACGCGCTGAAGGTACGTACATCTTCTCAATCGCAAGTTCTTTCGAATTCTCTTGGAGCATTGGACAGACAAGAGGCTTCCATTTTAAATCTCTTGCACAATTTGTCTTCTATTTCGATTTCGTTTCAAAGAAAGCCAATAATGAATATTAACTCTTTCTTACTTCGCACTCCCTTGCGACACTTGAACTGCATGTCGGAAACCGTGCGTGTTGTCCGTGTAGTTCACAATGTTTGACAGGCGATGAACGTGTCGTAGACATACACGGTACAAGAAATCTGTTTATGAACAGAAAGGGATAGAGATCTTTGCAAGCGATTCTGGGCATTACCCAACATCTTGGACCATTGTAGTATGGGTGACTTTACCTCTTGTCTACAAGGCCGTTCATTCCTTTGCTACTGCAGGAGGTTTGGTACTTTGAGGGAGACAAGCTGGACTTTGTCATGGCGGACCTGAAGTGTGACGGGACGGAAGAAGCGCTTCACTTCTGTTCGTACAAGTCCTGGACCAACAAAGAGTGCAAAGGTCACCAGGTGGCAGGCATCATCTGTACCCAGGGTAAGAACAAAACATTGAGGAGGGAGCCGTGAGGTTTTTCGTTATATAACCTACAACGAAAACTTGAAGACTTCCATCTGTCTCCACATACAGTACTAGAATCATCATCAAGTAAATTGGTTTGTCTGATCTCTTTCAAAGCAACGCCGTTTTCTCAGTTTATGGTCGGTTGAAGCCTGAATAATATAGTATGTGGGATTTGTTCCTTGCTCTTCTGCAGCGAGGTTACCTGACCTGGTACCAGACGCGTCTCAGGTCCGACAGTCCATCTACCTGGAGGACCGGCCGCTGTACCTGCTGTACTGTGCCGCTGAGGAGAACTGTCTAGCCAGCTCTGCGTACCAGGTAACTTCTACATTTTCAGTAACTATATCTCTATAACTTTCCTGCATGATTAATTTCTAGTCAGGTAAACCAAAGGTCGCAGATTCGTATAAAGACCATCCCGTTTTTGTTGACTGACGACCCGTCAGTCTGCACAGAACTTTGAACACATCACTTGAAGACAAAAAAACAAATTTCTTAAGAAACCGTATATTTCTTCCTCCCCAGATGGAGTGGCCGTACGGGTCCCGACGTCTCCTCAGGTTTACCCAGGCCGTGGCCAATTTCGGCAAGGCCGACTTCCGGCCTAACATCGACAGTTCGCAGTGGATCTGGCACCAGTGCCACGCGTGAGTAGCAGACTAGTCGACTGTGAACATTTGGCACGCTAACTGAGTAGTACCTAGTGCATGGGAGCAGTCGTTATCATCTCGCTAAGAAGAAAGGTACCTCAGAAATTCCTTAGCGGTGATCTAGAGCTTTACAAAGATACCACCAGGTGCAATATACTTAGTCAAAAGCGGCCGCACGCTAGCACATGGAAGGACGCACCTCACCTAAGGAGATTTTTCCCGATATTGGTGCAATTGTTTACATTATGGCACCTGTTTTTCTAAAACCTAGCCAAATAAAAACAGGTTCAGGGACATACATTGTACTCGTACATTGCTGCTTTACACAAAACCAAGCAGAAGATGGAGATATCAATTTGATTACACCGTGTCTTAATCAACGTCTGCACCAACAGCCACTACCACAGCATGGAGATCTTCACGCAGTACGACCTTCTGTCCGAAAACGGGACCAAGGTGGCTGAGGGACACAAGGCCAGCTTCTGCCTGGAAGACTCTCACTGCTATGATGGGTACGTACGACACACTATAGGAGGAACTGTTGTTCAGGGATGTTCTTTCACCTTCGGTGACCGATAGACTGTTCAAAAACACAATAGGACTAATGTATTTGTGCCAACGTTGACCGTATCGAATGGAAATGCATATTCGCTGTTATATATGTGTTGAATATATGCAAAGCTAGAATGGTCTTTACTGTAACCATGATCTATTTGATCTATTGTCTATTGTTCCATCGACAGGTTAGTTAGATCACAGCCTTGTTACCAACTGTTAGTTATGTCAACTTACCGCCCCCTGTTCTCTCTCAGTTATGAGCCTAAGTACGACTGTAATGTGGGTGAACAGGGAATCTCCATGGGGTGTGATGACACTTACAAGCACAGCCTGGATTGCCAGTGGATTGATATCACGGGTGTTCCATCGGGGACCTACACCCTGGAGGTAAGTAACTTATGAAAAATTGGTAGAATGTCTAAAGGAAATGTAAGAGGGTGGTACGTGGAGGAATTCAGGAAGTGGTTGGCTATGTGTAATACTCACTCACACAATCCTCAGGTCCAATGCATTCACGAAAACCCAGAACACTTCCTGGAGGTCTGCAATTTCCGATGAAAAAGTCCCATACCATGAAGAGATATATGTGGATATGTTCGATGTCTTAAAATCAACTCTTTCTACTTGTTTTCTTCAGGTCATAATAAACCCGTTGCGGGCAGTGGCAGAGATGGACTTTGAAAACAACAGAATCTCATGTAAAATTAACTACAATGGGTATCAAGTCGTCGCCACCGAATGCCATTTAGGTAAGACGTTCATTTGAAGTCTTATACATATGGCCATTGTAAAAAAATGTATAGATTACAAGCATATCATGCTTATTTACCTGTATAAGATATGATATTGGCGATTTATCAAGAATAATGAACGTAATAATTATGTTATTTTGGTATACTAGTGAAGTTGATTTGTCTCCCATCTATTCGACTCGTGTGTGAATTTGTGTACTTATCTTCATATTCCCTGTTACAATGCTGTTTCTTTCTTTACAGGAGAAGATGAATTGTTGAACAGTATATACTGATGATGGGAGTTCCCCGGATGTTAGTCACGTGACCATTATGAGGCATGCTCTGCTGCTACTCACCATTACTGTACGGTGGAACCCCCATGGTGGAAGCTTCATTCGCCTGATGAACAGTTCACTATGCACTTCACGTCTTTCCGCTAGGTGGCCTTGCAGGGTGCAGATATCATAGAGGAACTCGCGAGCTTGCATAGAGCTTGCATAATGTCGTGCGTTGTAGATAGATGTATATCTACGTAGATGTATATCTACATTTATGTGGATAAATGTAGACGCCTCTGTTGAGGCTTCATGTACGGCAAATTTCTTGACATATTGTCCCAACACTGCCGTGTAGGATGATATACTATTATGCCACATACCGGGTGTCCCGGTTGCTGATCTATTCTTTTTCAAAAGTGCTTCATGGCAACATGGATTTAGCAATATAATATCTAAACCTATCAGTCTAACCTCATCAGAAATCAGACTCCTGGTACATAGTTTGTGTCCAGCCTTCTGCGGCTTTCTGTTACTCCACGAGTACGGTGTCAGGGACGTGACATGCGATTTGTAGTTCGAAAACATAGATAAAAGTATAGTTTTTTTTTGTGAAGGACCACGATCTACAAAGACAATGGTGCTAAATGACATTCACGTGATAATTAAGTATTATATATTGGACAGAATCATATTTATTATCATTGTTACTGACTGAGATGTACAGAAACTGGGTATACCTGGCAGTGATACTAACAACGTTGGTAGAAAATGGTTTGCGTTTCTAATAAAATTGGTAAATAAAGTCCCTCTAATTAGTCTTCTCTTTCCCGACATGTATTGTCCACGTACTGGATCCTACCTCATATCTCTGTCCGGATGTAGTTGTGTTTGTTCCAACACAGAGGTTGTACAGTAGGGAACATCTCGCGCTTGCCGTTCACGTGTACATGGGAACTTTTGTAAGTGATTCTGTAACGTTTCACTTAGTTTTATATAGTCCATATCTTATAGCGTGTCACTAATCTCAACCACTCGGTCAAGTGTTCAATGTGTTTAATTCCTGTTCTCTGCCAGCATATGCGTTCCTGTGTTGTAAATGAATCTCATGTACTGCCATTATAAGACGAATATATATAGAGTAACGTGACGTAGAGTAAATGTGTCCTTGTATAAGCAATATGTAGTTGTAGCAAAGACAGTGTAAGAACTTCAATGCGTTCATTTGTATATTTGAACAATTATCTTTCATAATGAACCGGTTACTATGATGGCTGGTGAGAAATAATATTGATACAAATGAATATATTCTTATCCTGTTTTACGCATGAATAGCTCACAGCTGTGAACTTTGTAATTAAAAAGGGCACCAAAATATAATGATGGATTTAAGTTGTCATTTTTATCAACAACTTTGTCAACAAGATTACTTCGTCTTAGGGACTTATTGGGACTTACAATGGGATCTTCGGTCTAGACAAATAGGAAGTTGTGTCCATCACAGGTCTGCTCCGGCCAGAGGTGGATTCGCACCATCAAAGTATGCAGACTGTGATAAGATGTTTTAAAAACAATGAAAGACGAAATGAGCATATTTGGCATTCTCCATCAATCCGCGGAGACTAAACTTGTTACGCGTGTAACAGTAGGAAAATCGTTCAGAGACACAACACTATCTCCTCATGATAACAAAGAGTCCAGATGAAGCATTATTCGGCATAATAGGCTGATAGTATGAGCATAATTAAGCGATGGGAAGTAACCAAACTAATAGACCATCTTGAAATAATTTGTGTCACACATTCGCCTTTAGAATGCCATGTGGCCGCGTTGGCAGTAGCTGGCCATTGGCTAGTGATGTGGAATGGGCAGATTGAAGCACAACTGTTTATTTCCGCAGGAGCAATGTCCAAGTTGGAATAACATAGTAGTGCATTCCACAATACTAGATTTCACAGTAAGGTCGTGTGTCGCTCGGCCTCCACGTCACATGGACAGTAGATGACGTTTAGATACCGTCGTTTTCCTGACTGTTCCAGGATCATTAAATGACTGCCGAACCCAACATTGTTGGAAACAAATTAAACCTTCATCCTTCATAAGACGACGACATAACAGTCAAGAAAGCAGTTACGTAACCAGACAAAGGGTACGAAAATACCAGTAGAAGTCTTCTTCGGAGGCTACTAGATCCTACTACTTTGCGATTTTTCTGAGTATTAATTACTAGATGCATCAGTCTCTATCACAAATTTCCATTTGTTAACCACCATGAAGTATACCGTACAGGGAGCATGGCACCTGAAGAAGTGCCACCTTAGTGATTGGTCACAGATGGCCATGCACAGAATCTGTTTGATGGGTCAGGTACCCACCAAGATACCGTGACACAAGTCTTAACGTAAGACTCCTGATCAATGTCCGGTTATCCCTTGCTGACAGGGGTCATACCTGATTGACACATTACCTTGAACGGAGATAGCCTCTATTGGCATACGGTACACCACCTCTAGCAAACCTTCGTGCGAGTCTAAAGGGCATGGAAAGGCGTATATTTCCTTCTTACTGCCGCATGCCAATTCTGCTGCCAATTTGGAAACCGACGGGCAGTCATCGACTGATGAGAGGCGAACTCAAGCTGGATGCCAGGATGGAGTAAATTCGTGCCTCCTAGCAGTTTTCGTCAATCTGCAACTTTCCGGAATACTGTAGGTTTGGATGTCAAACAGAGAAAACTATAGCTGCCTTTGGGTGGTTTGCTCTCTCTTACAGCCATTTCTAGTTACCAAAATCGCAATGGAAAATTGGTGATAGCAACCCCATCTCGCCATGTGTGTGGGAAGGCTGCGGCTAGCTGTTCTATTGTCAAGGACCGCCGCCAGACATCAACGATCAATGTCAACGCAGGCAGGGAATGGGTGGGACTATAAACATGGGTCCAGGCCAAGTCACGACCGCCAAAATGACAGAAGCCATTACAACTGAAGCCCTCAAATCAGTCTGATGAAGAATCTGCGGAACAGTGAGAGCCCTATAGAGCCGTCCATGGTTGATTATCATCGCAATGCGCGGAGTAAGAGGTCAGTTTGACCGGGCACTGGCCTGTACCATGGCAACTTAGTCACGTGATCGTCTCATGCAATCCTGGGGGTACGTCAGCTTCCAATATTTAAACAGTTGGGAAGGTCTTTCCGTCGCACACGTAGCGGTGGGTGGAGAGACAAAAGTAGGTTTTAGGACAGACTGTTCTGTGCATCAGACAGACGGTTACAAAAGGCTCCAGTCACAGCCCGCCTGCGCCAGCCACGCATTCCTGCCCCGTCTTCTCCACCACCTCACCTCTTCCAAAAGGGTGGGACTGAGACAGTCTGACTGAGGAAAAGTGCCAGTGATAGTCTTTTGTTACTCGAAAGCGGTTCAAAGCGCGACATTTTACCTTAAGTGTCCGGCAAGCCAGCTCGTTCTCGCTGTTGAATCCATCAACTTCTCCCGACCACCATGCAGATTCAGTGCGCCCAGGTATTCCGTGTGTGCGGCATCGCGTCTTTCCTGGTTTTCTGTGTCCTATACGGGTCCTATCAGTACTACTACAACTACTATGGATACTACGGATACGGAGATTCGGAATCTTCCAATGACATCGACTCGGAGCCAGGTACGTGTAAGAAATATGCTCAAATCTTTTCAATACAGCTAGAGATTGGTAGGAAAACTTTTGACGCGATTTACGGCCATCTTTGATGCTTTGAGACCGTGGTGTGGTGGTATTGAGAATATCTACCGGTCATGCCGCAGTGGTCGTCGGCTGAGCGCATTCAGAGAGGGGGCTATCTTATACGCTATGCTCTTGGGTAAATTATTGGGGAAATGCTTCTTACAACATTTTACGGACAAAGTCTCAAGCCGGTGTACATAATATACATTGACGTTGACGATGATATTCTCAAGACCTCGAAACGGAAGCTACTGCTGCTGTATTGTCCCTAGCAGCAACATATTTCTGCGGACGGTCACGTATTCACCGCTTGGAACGAGCCGCTTTTAGCTGCAGGGCTACATAAGACGCATACAAGGGCGCTCCCTAAGACAAACCTAGTCTTTCATAAGGAATGGATTGAGACATAGCGCAATACATAACGGCTCCAGACAAAAGTGACACTTCAAAGCCGCGGACAGATCTTGACCTAGACCAAGATGACCTGTGTGCACTGTTCGCACACAACACTGACCTAAAACTGCCTGCTATCAGACGTTTGTCCTGTGACGGTCGTCCGATCATTTCTGTCGCTTTAACACGTATCGTAAATGTGCTGTCGCGATATGGTATGTATGTTGTGCTGCAGTGCTGTTTATAGCAGTGAGATTTTGTAAATTGGTAACAATTCCACCAGAAATGCAGACCAGCTGATGACGGTTTGGATAACTGATAGCGCCTCTTTGTACTAAAACAGACGCGGTGGCCAAGTTCTTTTTATTTAATGTTTGTTGGTACAGAAAGGCAAATCGACCCCGTCTTGAGATTTTCACTCGGCAGGGATCCTACTTGTAGGTCAAGTAATTTGGCAGCCCTCTAGGAATCATCAGCGCTGCCGCCTGACTCTCCTTGTCAGTCCGCTGGGGGTGAAAAGGTCGAATTCAAGATGTCTGCCAGTGTTTTAACCGGCATCAGGGGACTATTCATGCACATAAAGCATGCAATCAATGCAATTTTTGACACAATTCTGGGTTTTCATATAGACCCCACGACTCGTGTTTCGCGTATGATTAATATGCGAACTTCTTCGTACCTCTAGAATGTTTGCTTCTAAACGTCTTCTCTCTTGCAAGGTGTTGAAATGTAAGTTATTTATCTTCCCCTGTTCTCATTGAAAGAGTCCCAGGTACACATGTTGAGAGACCATGATTTGGCCATCTTATATGTCCATTGCTAGACTGGCTCTGACTCATAGTATAGTTTAGAGAGTGACTGTTCCCTACTCGCACCATTTCAGACCCTGCGTGGCTAGACTAATATTGACTGAACGCCCCTAAAATGGTTCTAACTTTACTACGTCAATCCTAATGGCATACTGATGACTCTCCTGAGGTTTTCAGATACAAGACACATCGTAACTCGCGGTGACCCACCTGGTCCTGATCTGTGAGGCTACAGATTGGGGTCAGGCGTTATGAAACGCAAATTTTATAGCTGTCGACAGATGGAACAAGTTTTACCTGAAAATAACTGAACGAGGACAACTCTTTTATGTAAAAGTACCCTTTTATAAGTCATTACTGGCACCCTGAGAAAAAAAAATATCATCAGGACCTATTTCAACCAATTTCTGTAATAGTACTAATACTTCGACTGAAGCTTCGCAGCTGTTTTTCCTTCCCGGTATGCAATATAGTTTTGTATAGCTGAGCTGTTAGTTTGTGTATCTGTTTGTTTGTTTGTTGTTTGTCCGGACAGAGTATTTTGACTGCACACGGGAGGGGGTGACAGGCAGAATGACAGGAGGTCAAAAGGTCGGATTTAGGAAATGGGGCTAACGCGGAGGTGTCAGAATCTGGCGGGAAGCCAGTGGTCGACATGGGGGAATTCAGGAAGCTGAGGACAAGGATTAAATTCTTCCCGGAAGTCTAAAATCTTCGATTTCTTGTTCTATTTTCTTGACAACATCATTATTTATTGATTCATTTATTTATTGAATCACGAAGCACGCTTCCTTAGATTCATTGGTACGACATTGAGTGGCGCGGAAAATTAAGGACAGAAATGTGTTCCAGACAACCTGCATTTCTACGTCCGAAATTCCACCTGAACACTACAACAGATTTATCAAAATTAAACTGAAATTTGAGGAAGCCAATATAAAATACCCATGTGCCACTTGTACAGATTTTGGACGTGACTCGAATCTAACAGTCGCGACAAGTCATATTGTATATGCCAGCCTGTATCCGTTGGATCTACAAGACCGTGCCATTGTTGTGTTCTGCCAGTCTGTCTGGCCACGCGTGCCGCGGAGTTGGAGCTGTCACGCCGGTTTCTGTGGAGTGTTTTCATGTCATTTCCTACTGCCCTGGCACGCAAAGCTCTTACAGATGCCGAATCCTGCCTAAAGTTACACAAGTTAATTCTTGAATTATTAGCTGGAACCAACTCAAATGAATCAACTGGAATCTATAAAACGATCAAATCGTCAAATTTGGGCAGAGGAATACTTTACTAAGTCCTAGTGGGGAGGTATCCACAATCCTCAGCAGCCAAAGCTAATTTACTGCACTGTGTTTCGTGTAGTTTTGTTTCATAGCCCCATCGGTCGCCAAGAGTCACTTTTAATGGTTCCGCGGCCTGCTCCCTGTTTAGTGACGCGTTTAAATTGTTGAGTAAAGTATGGGCTAGTCAACAATTTATACGCGTTACTCAACAGGGAGTGAGTCAAGGAACCATTAAAAGTGACTCTGGCGACCGAAGTGGCTATGAACCAAAACTACATGAAACATACAGTAAATTAGCTTTGGCTGCTACGGATTGTGGATACCTCCCCAGTGGAGATGAGTAGAGTATTCCTCTGTCTAAATTTGGTGATTTGATTGTTTGCCAAAAGTGATCTCCTGTTGAGAGGTTACCAGGCTTTGCGGCAAATTGTAATTGTTTGGAAAGAGTAGACAAAGTGTGGCGTAACACTTAACAACAAGACATTTGTGCCGAAATTCTTCTGAGGTTTTGCTGGTAAAAGTTAGTTGACGGTGAATTACACAATTAAGACGCTGAGACCCAGGTATTCTATGTTCCCTCTTAGCCTATTCTGCGTCTTGATTTCAACACTAACCAGGCACTTGTGTTGCAATAACTGTAAAAGATAATATGTATATACCCAAATAGAAATGCTATTAATGGCAAATGATTGTCGAGCCTTGTTGGAGGATTGTTTCCTGTATATGTAGAGGCAACCCCCAACCGCAGAGGTTTTATGTCAGACTCCGTTGCAACAGAGTTGTTTATGAAGTCTTGTCAGAGTTGTTTATGATGTTTTGTCAGGGTGGTTGCCGTTGATGAATTAGCTTGCCTCCCGGACCCCGGGCGACTAACACCTACCCTTGAACCTGAGATCTAAAGGAGGTTGGCTCAGCAGCTGGAGGCCCTAACTGTTGTCACAGACTGCTGGTTTTACTTACGCTCAGTCTACAGAGGCTCAGCATGCATATTGGAGGTGTGAAGTTTGAAGCTGCACATAATGTTAATAACTCTAATAGATTTTATCATATGTGTACATGTTTGTAATAGATGTTGTTCGATTTTAAAGCTTTTAATGGGTTGTAATTGTAAGTAACAGTGCAATTCAGAACCCATGGGTTCTGCAAAACTGTTTTACGTCGTTATCAATAAACCAGTCATATAATGTTACGCAATCGGAATGAGAGACGGACGCCAAATGTGATGAGAATCGTCGGCCATACCATGACTAGTGGGCGTCCCAGCTGTACCCTCTTTCTGGTATAACGTACTTTGCACATATTGAATCAATAGGGTCTTATCTTCTTTTTGTCTAAAAACAGACGGGCTGGTAATTGTCAATCCTGTCGTACCCATTCAATGGAGAAAATGTTTCAACCAGATACTGCCTAAACATGTCGCCGGTCCCAAAACATTAGCGACCTGCATGTTGGGACAGGAGCTGAATGGACTGGCAAAAGAGTATACCGTTTTAAAGCCAAACTAGAAAGGTTGCAAATGCATTATGTTATGCAGCCCCTCTTGAACTCAATTGTGCATGGTCAATGGCACTTTGAACATCATGTAACCCAATTATTATGGTGAGAGACGTCTGGTTCAGGTCATTGACCTTATTTCTTTGGAGAAGTAGGGAAAAATTATTTTCCTTCGAACATAATTTAAGTACTGTTCAAACTGCACACTACCAAATTACCTATCCCTGACCAGGCAGAGTTACTGAGCTGAATGAACTCACAGCTGCCGCGTCTGTTTAGATGCCATCATGATCATTCTTGAAAGACTTCCAGGTTGCCGGTTTGCATGAAAAGATGTTCTCTAGGACGGAGATGACAGGGCATTGCCCGAAAGTTAGCTTCCCTCGGCAGGTAGATTACAAGGACCGACATGACATACACCCTGCAGGTTGCTGTTGAAGTTGAAGCGTCTCTTATTATGTGCATTGACGAATACTATTGTAAACCTACCAGGCAGCTGACGGTCGATATCATAAAGCCACATACAATCCGATGACAAAGACCGGGCGTTTAGGGTGAAGCTGGGGGGGGTTTGACTGAACTCAACGAGGACACGTACAACGTACGTAAATCTCATTGTGTGCAGCAAAGCAAACTTAATCCGTCCCACAGACAGATAATTGTCCCCACCACCCTGATGTTGCTCCGTCTGGATGCCGACCTGGGTAACGTTAGCTCCACTGCCATGGCCAACCCACCGACCTGGTCCCGGACAAATGTCACAATTAGAGAGGAATTCACCCCCACAGTGTCAGTAGAATGGTATGGATGGCTAGCGCGAGGATACGGACAGATTGTGTTACAGATTATAACATTCTCTACATACCGTATCACTATCAACAGCTGGACATGTCAGCAGGAAGGTTTGACCCCGTTTAATTCTCAATATCGTTGCCACATTGTCGTAAGTGTAAGACTAGTAAACACTGAAGTTCTGTGCCTGGATTTTCCGTTAATAAAGTCGAGCCATGTGTTTAATTGTTTGTCGTAACGTCAGCTGGGCTCCTCAAAGGAGAGTCGGGACGTGTGTAGGAAAAGATAAACTTCTTTCCCTTCTTGTGTCTGCTGCGCGCGGAGCGACAGACCTCCCACTCTCGCATACCAGCGTCTGACAACTCAGCTGTGATGACGGTATCCCTGGAAATCACTGAGGTCAATGAACTTTGCTCGTCGTCTGTTGTGACTTTCTCCTCCCAACTGTTTCTATTTCGTGACCTTTTAAGAAGCTCCTACGAGGTAACGAGCCAAGTGGTTAGTTGACCCACAACCACGAAGTATTTACCAGCCGAAAAGGGGATGTGAGGACAGTATATGTACTGTGTTGTAAATTTTACTCGCCAGCGGGTTCAAGATGATTATGATGTCACATGAAAGTGAAGGTACGAGTGAATCACCAAAATTACACTCCTGAATTTTGACCCCCCCCCCACTGTATTCATTCAAAAGCAGATTAAGGATATGCATATTTGAATTTTTTCCTTTTCACACCTGCCATCTAATTCACATCGTTAGAAAAAACGTTGAGTTTTGAAAGCAGGGATTGCCAATTAAAATGTCAATTAACAGTCATATAAAAGCGTTTTCAATTTGATGGAAAAATTACATCTTGTCCCCAGCCCTACCCGATCTTGTTCCCGATGCCTACGTGATCCAGGTGTCGGCCTACCTGGACACCCAGCCCATGTCGAAGCTACAGTGTGCGCTGTCGGAGAACTGTCTCAGCAGATCGGCATGGAACGCCGACTTGAACGACAAGAGGAAACTCCTCAGGTTCGCCCTGAAGACTGAGAACAGGGGGAAGGGAGAGTTCAACCCAGAACTCCCCCGGCGCTACTGGGTCTGGCACTCCTGCCATCAGTGAGTACATCAAATATATTTTACAATACTTATTCCTTTCCACGTATTTGTCTGTCTCTCTGTCTGTGTGTGTGTGTACCGTGCGTGCGTGCGTACATGTGTGTGTGTGTGCGTGTGTGTGTGTGCGTGCGTGCGTGCGTGCGTGCGTGCGTGTGTGTGTGTGTGTGTGTGTGTGTGTGTGTGTATTTGTTTGTTTGTTTGTTTGCTTGCTTGCCTGTGTCAAGCCCGGTAATTTTAGGAATGGATACTGTACACTTGTAAAATTGGCAAAGTATCCTCAGCAAAGTAAATTCTATCATCACCCAAACGGACCCACGAACAAGGTTTGAATTTAAGATAACCTCTTGATGTCCCTGCTATTAGGTGACCTTAAAACCCAACTCCCCCTGGACGGGTCCGTCTGTTCGAACGTTGGCCAGATAGTTGCCCAAAGCGTGATGGCAACTGCGCGGGATATTCAAAAACCCTCTAGCCCGTCGATTTTTGAAATGCTTTCTGGTTGGTTCGCGGCTGCATTAATCTGTACCTCAAGCCACCGTGTAAGTGATTTGGCTTCCCAACTAGATGAAAATTGTTCACATTCTACGAGGAAGCATTGTCACGCCTTACAGATAAGCAGTGAGTCGATTGAGCCAAGTTCTTCAGCCAGATGGATCCGTGCCCTTCCCCTGGAATTTCTCAGGGGCAAGACTTCCTAGCACACAGCCCCAGTAGCCTGGTAACCGGGCCGATTTTATTTATTTTATTTTATGAAGATTTACCACATTTGTGGAAGGATTGACATAACAGGTGACTATCACCTTTTTCAAAGATGCCAACCCCGAGACAAGACTGTAAGGTTAGCCCGATAGCCCCAGTAGCCTGGTAACCGGGCCGATAGAACATTGTTTAGCCATTCCTAGGACACGTTGTCTTTCAACAGGCAGACGCAAGGATTGGGCTGTATACTGTCCTTGACACGGTGCTCGACTTGTGTTGGAATGAGGGACGAGGCAGAGGGAGGATTTAAACACGTCCATTCAGGTTTATCTGTACACAAGTCAGACAGAATAAATACAGAGAAGCACGGAGGTGACAATGCATCATTGGGCACTACATCTGGTAAGAGTATGTGGTGGATCATTCCTGTCTTCGTTTGCTCTACTCTTTACCCAGTAACCTAATTTTATACTCCCCAGGGCTGAACACATGATACATAACAACATACAAACGACGTACTTAGACAAAACATACAGCTGTTAGTAACGTGGTCACTGGTGCTGAACAAGAAAACAGCTTTCGACTTGACACCTTTCTTGACACCTTGGCAAGCTAAGTAAAAATACCAGGTTTCAGTCCAGGTACAAAACCGTTTTTTTAACAAACATTTACTCTTGGTCATCTGAAGTCTAGCTCTTGTTCAGATTACTTTCAGTCAAATGTATAAAAAAACGTATAGGACGTCTTAGTAAAAGTTTCAAGATGAAATCTTGCGTACAGCATTTTCGGAACAACCTACCGACCAATGCACCAATGAAATGGCAAACGTCTGTGATTATATAATTATAATGTCATGCTACGACCTGCGTTGATGGACGTAGAGGGCACTCGAATAGTGGCATTTCATAATCTCCGCTTTAAAACACATATTGCATCAAGAGTTTATTGGCATTCCATGAAAGGATCGTACAAAATGGTGGACCGTGCGGTTCTGCCGTCATGGTAGGGGGGCACAGGCTGGCCTTGGCGACAAACAAGTGCGGTTAGAGGTGAGTGAAGACAAAGTGTTTACCACATGTTTCGTTTTATCGCGATGTCTGTTGGTGAAAATCGGCTCCAACTTTCCGCCCAGCCCCACCCTGATACCTTGGCCAATCGTAGGAGTTCCTACTGCATAGATACCTGTTCACACCATGGGGTGATAAGGGACTGTACGATATTTACCGGGGGGGGAGGGCTGGTGCACTGGGGGGGAGGGCCATTGAAAATTTTTTGGCCTGGGGGAGGGCCATGGAAAAAAAATTGAGCCGGGGGAGGCCATCGAAAAAACAATCGGCCTGGGGGGAGGGCCACCGAAAAACTTTTGTAAAATATGGCGTCGCGTAGTACCGAATTACAAGAAATACGCCGTAAATTCCCGAATATAGAACGCACTTTTTACATTTTTCAAAATCCCAGAAGTGTCTCGGGCCGTCGCCAAAGTCGCGGTGCGTACTTTATTTGAGTTTTCCGCCGACAAATCCGTGGACGACCAGGAATATAGCGGGACACCGGCACGGGGAGCTTGGAACATCGATCGTCCATAGCATGTTTAGATAAGAATATTGACGAGTGGAAATAAAGCTAAACTTCAATAAAAGGAACATATTTCCTGTGACTATCGTCGATATTGACACCAAGTTGCGGTAAAAGAAGAAGTCAAGTCACCCACGGTAAGAAAATAGTAGGTCTCTGGCAATGACGCCCGGCGCTTTGTCATGCCGACAGGATCGTTCCCCAGCTAGCCGGCGCCGATCTCAGTGGAACCCCGGCAAAAATATAAGTACACATACAATTGTAGAGTTTATGAGTGGTAATATACGCAAGCCGTGAACGTTCTTGATCGTCGTAACGTAACATGTGATAACATAACAATTGTGCCTCGACTGATGGTCATCATTTCCAATACACTTCCGGCTTGAGTTCAACTCAGGAATCTTCAACAAAGATTATGCCCATGTCGTTTCAAAGGTTCAGAAATTGTTAACCATGTTTCACTTCGTATCACAAATATTTTTAAATCTTAATAAATGCCACAGGAACTTACTTTGTAGCGGGCTACACCAGCCAGTACGACGTGAAAATTCCAGCTAGATGTACTCCTACTCGACTGTTCGGCAAGCTACAATGATAGGGGCGGAGTTAACTTAAAATGTAGCCTTTGATGAAATCTTACCGCCCGGCCGGTGGGTGGGGTGTTTGGCGCGCCGACAGGCAAAGTACACCTACAGCTGAAGAACACAGAGAGGGCCGTGGCAGCGCTGAGGACAGCTTTCCAGAACATGGACCCCGAGAAGGAAGTCTTTCTTTCCTCTGAACAGACTGTACTTATAAGTTTTACGGAGTACTAATTAATAGTGTTTATTCCTTTGATTTTGTGACAAAAAACATCTATCACATAACGAGAGATTACTTGAAACGCAGTCAAACTTGTCACTTTCTCCTGTTCGGAATCGAAAGTCCCATTGATCCCAGTAGTCTATTGTTGTTGTGTTAATTGGTTTCGGTGTCAAATTTTTAATTCGGTAGCACCTCAACACCGGAAATACTCCGCCCAGTTCTCCGCCTGTATGATTGTTGCTCTCCATGGGTCGATCGGGCGGGCGCTATTAAAGAAGTGTTCGGCGCATTTCGTATTAAAAACATTAAAGCTACATACTTGTGCATCAACATTCAACTACCCCCCGTTACCGATAAAATCAATATTGAAATATTGTCTTTTTTTCACGAATCTTTATTGACCATTGCTTGCTTGATCACCAAGACACCAACACTCCAAAGCTGGATCCAAATCTGTGCGCCTTCGCCGCACTTGCCTTACCTTTCGATGCGGTGGTGACGTCTTGCAAGTCGGCTGCGGCCGGCGGTGAAAAACAAAACGAACTTGAAACGTTTCCCGCTACGTTACCTTACCATCACGTAGTACACGGCATAAATCTAGTTTTTAACAATTTTAAATTTGTTTGGAACGACGAACTGTCTTTAAGACATACATACTACATGTTCACTGTGGTACCGGCCGTGCGTAGAAGGGGTGCGTACTTAATTCGAGTTTTTCCATTTTACGTTTCAGACGGGAATATTTGTCTCCCACCAGCCCCAAATCGGGGGTGCGTACTTTAATTCGGGGGTCCGAAAAATTTTTTGGGGTTGGGGGAGGGCCATTGAAAAAAATTTTGAGCCGGGGGGAGGGCCATGGAAAAAATTTTTACCGGACCATTTTGCACCAGCCCTCCCCCCCCCCGGTAAATATCGTACAGTCCCTAACTTGTGCTGAGATGTTCCGTTGTGAGGTGGTGATGTTCTAGAAAGATTTGCGGTTCTGAGAGTTTGACAAACAGTGGGGGGTCTATGACACATGACTAGTAATTGGCCTCTTCATCACAACCTCCCCCAGCACGGTGAGAACTTGACACTGTGCTCCTCAGCCTGGTTTGAATTTACGGCAAAAATGAAGAACCTCCGGATTTAGAAAAGTGATGACACTCCTCACCACGAAGCCTGAGAGAGGACGTCGTTTGTCCCGTATGTACGGTAGCTTACGGTATTGAAGGTGAAGGCGCTAGGGGTACAGGCCACCCCTCCCACCACACCACACCACACACACTCACGGACACTGCAAATAACATGTACATCTACCGTTACCAACATGTACATGTAGGTGATTGTCGTTTGATTCATCCTCTAGACACTACCACAGCATGGACGCGTTCTCGTACTACGACCTGCTGGACATGAACTCAGGCGGGCAGGCGGCGGACGGCCACAAGCCGAGCTGGTGTCTGGAGAACACGGGCTGCGGCTACACCAGCAGGAGACCGGTCTCCTACAACTGCCATTGGGGCACACAGGTCAGCACTCGGGCTCACGGCCTTGGACTGTATGGTAGGATAGAATGTCGTTCTGCGGTCCAGCCCAGTGCTTTCAGAAAGGCTGCTACTGTAAAACTGTTCATTAATCTTTTATCATACGCTAGTGTTTTACTTGTTGTTTATAGAGACCCGTACATGTTCAGACTGATTTTAAACATCAATTTATTCGAAACATAAAGGTTTTGTTATGACTTCACCATCTAGTGGTGATGTCATATTGTTTTTGCTGACGTTTCTGTTTCTTCTTCTCCTGCCATTTCTTTAAATTGATTCAACTCCTTCATTTTTGGGCCAAATAACATGAACTTTGGCATGAAGGTACAGTGGTCAAATACCCCAAGGTGTTTTTTTAATTTTCTTGGTACAGGCTTTTAGAATGGTTTTATTGTGACTTTTTGTTTGTGTTATAGGATATGTACTGTAGCAGTGTGTGTTGCCAAATATGGGCAGCAGGTGCACCCTGTTTGGAGATCTGGTCTCTGATTGGCTGTTCCCTTAATTACTTTATTGCTGAATGAACACCTGTGTAGGCTTCCACATACTTATAATAGGAATAGTTACTTTGTTTTTTTACAAGTATTAGCCAGGAAAAGAAGTCTTTTGGGTTGTAAATCGGTAGAAACATGTCATATAACCTACATTTCTATATACCTTGCTATTTTTTAAACCAAATTTTAAAATTTTTAAAGCAGATAAGCTGCTCTCCTCTATTCTTCTTGCTGATTGGCTGTTGAGATCTAATTGGGTTAACTGTATTAACAGCTGCACATAGCCATACCATATTGACAGTATTGAACTGCATTCAAGTGTTTTGGGGTAGATATGTAAAACTTTCCTTCTCAAGCATTGGAATGCGGGACATAAACGCTTTTTTTTAAATCTTGAAAAACAACAGCATTATGGAAATAAATCCTAACCAATAATGTAGGGGATAGCTATCCAACTGTTGCATTCTTAGTTATATGTCACAGACTTCATACTATATTTATATCAATATAAAGCATTGTTTTCCCTTGTATTTCTCCTTCTTTCCCTGCAATGTCGTGAAACTTGGTGAAGTCATGCTACATCTGCTCCAAAGCAGATGTCGGCCTTTCTAGTTAAACTTTCTGTTTGTAGAATTAGCTAAGCTCTTAGATGTACTATGATATCTTCAATAGACTCATTCCCCAACAAAACATGACCAGCAGAAACACGTTGCAGTAATTTTAGTAAAACACAACCCTTGCTGGCGATGAACCTGTCCGTACATCTTGGCACGGCTTCTGCCACGTCCATCAGCAGGTGTTATTCATGATTTCACATTTCCCATAATGCCTAGTAAAGGTCACGGATATGACGTATGACCACTCCCTCCCCTTCCTCGATGTGATATTTCCAACAAGTTCTATCGACAAACTTCTCAACTATATTGTTTTGAATTATTTATCTAGTATAAAGCCCATGCCATAATTGCATTTTTGTTGGAATTAGAGAAAATGACATACCTTCTATTGTTCTACCTTCTACCGAAGACTCTCCTACTCGCACGGTCGCATTACGTATATCCCCTTCTTACGTCATATCCCATCCATATCCGCGATCTTTACTAGGCATTATGGGAAGTGTGAAATTCATGAATGTATATCTGGTGCATTTCAGGGCATCTCCAGTGGCTGCTGGGATACATACACCTCCGATCTGGACTGCCAGTGGATAGATGTGACTGACGTGAAACCGGGATCTTACATCATGGAGGTTTGTATTTACTGATACTAAACGCTTCATTTACGATTTACAACTAAACTGGAAGGTTTGTATTTATGACCCACAACTAATACAAAGCTTCGATGTTGGTATTTAGAAACATAGTACACCCAATACCGCAATGGA